TCACCAGCAGAATTAACTGCAGAGGCCAGGAAAAATGAGGGTGGCCTCAACCCCCGCTCAGAGAGAACCATTTTTTCCCATGAAGCAAAGCATCCCACACAGCTCTAGCAACACAGAGCCACTGTGGTCCCAACCAGGGAGACGCTGACACAGCCCCTGACGTGGCCACGGATGCTGGCCTGGAAGCCGGCCCTACCCACACACATCCTCCATCCTTCTGGCTTTAGTATTTAGGAGCCAAAGTGCTTCATGGCTCAATCTTTCTCCCGCTGCAGTCACATCCAAGGGGTCTCATCCAATTTGTGGCATTAAATTTATGTTGATAACGCCCACAATCACCTACGCAGCCCAGACCTCTCTTCTGAACTCCAGGTTCTAGTACCCCATTGCCTTCTCAATTAGCTACCCAGAAGGCATGTCGAACGTAGGATATTCAAAACTCAGCTCCTCCCCCATCTTCCCAATCTACTGTGTGTGACTGTCCCCGGCCTTTTAGCCACTCAGGACCCAAACCTCAGGATTAACCTGACTCTTTCACCTCCTCATCTAATCCATCACCAGCTCCTGGCAGCCCTGCCCTTGGAACAGGTCCAGTATCTGCCCGCCACTCCCCCTGGGAGGAAGCCACCGCTCACTCCCACTTGGATGGGACAAGAGTCTCCCATCTTGACTCTCCGCTTCTACCCGTGCCCCCCGTCCGTCTGCCTATTCTCAACACAGCAGCCAAAGAGTGCCTTTGAAAAATAAGTCAGGTCACGCCACGCCTTTGCTCAAAACCCTTCCCAAGTCTTCCCCATTTATATCAGCTTCCTGCTGCTGCCGTGACCAATGACCACAAGCAGTGGCTTCAAACCGCAGAAATCTATGCGCTGACAGTTCTGGATTTCCCAAGTGTGAAACTGGATCTTACGGAGCTAAACTCAAGGTGTTAGCAGGGCTGCGTTCCTTCTGGAGACTTTAGGAGAAAACCCCACTTCCTTGCCTTTTGCAGTTCCTGGAGGCCGCCTGCATTCCTCGGATCCTGGCCCCTTCCACGGTGACTCCAGCCTCCTGCTTCTATCGGCACGTCTTCATCTACTACCTCTGACCCTCCTGCCTCCCTCTTGTAAGGACTCCTGTGATTACGCTGGACTCACCTGGGTAACCCAGGAGAATCTCCCCATCTCAAGGCTCTAAATCATATCAGCAAAGTCCCTTTTCCCACGTGCGGTAACAAATGCACACGCTGTGGTGACTGGGACGGGAGCATCGATGCGGAGTCCGTTTCACTCAGAATAAAAGCTAAGGTTTGGACAACACTCCACAAGTTCCCCTGTGAACCACTCCCCACTTCCTACCTAAGCTCAGCTCTTAGAACTCTCCCCCCTCACTCACTCTTCCAGCTATGCCAGACTTCTTGCTCTTCCTCAACACATGAGCCATCCCCAGGACCTTTGCACATGCTGTCTCCTCTGCCAGGAGAGCTCCCTCCCTCCCTGAGGTGACTAAAAGGTGTCATCTTACCAGTAAGGCGTGTCCTGTGATCACCACTCCCCCAGCCTGGCACTCCCTTCCAGGCTTAAGTTTCTCCCAGACCTCTGAACACCTCGTGTCACTCATTCTCACTGATTCTTTTTCTTTCTTCTCATCCCAAGATGCCACCTCCGCAAGGGGTGTCTCTTGTCATACTCTCTAGCAAATACATGATGCGGGGACTCAAACAGTTGTTGAAGAAGTACATTCTACTTTATTGGAAAAGTAAGTTCCTTGGACTCCAGACCTGGCTTAAAGTAGGAACTTAATAAATATCTGAATGAATCAATGAATACAGGAAGGGGTGAGTGACAGATCCAACTTACATCTCATTTTCTATAGGTACAGGGACTACTATGAAAGCAAGTGCTCTTTAAGAGCCAAACATAACAGTTTAAGTAATTTATTCAAGAACGTACAACAGGAAAGTACTACAATCACGTATTAAAACTCCAACCAGGCCCTTACTGCGTCCCTCTGTGTTCTTAGATCTGACGAGCCAGACCTCATCTGGAGTCCCTTGACTGGCTGAAACACATGTACCAACAAGGTTTCAAGTTAAAAAATTCTGGATTTAGTTTGAAAGGAAATTCCGCAGAAATCTCAAAAGCATGTATCTTGTACATTTGTATATGCAAAAAATAAATATACAGGGGAGCGATCATCATCCACACTTCAAAACGCACCCAGGAGCAAACCTGCGGCCAGTGGGTGCTGCGGGGACAGTTATAATAAGCTTCGAGGACATCAGGCCCTGGCACTGCTCAGCAGCCAGCCAGAAGCGGCCTCCAGATGGTCGCCTTTGGAATCCGGTACACAGACGAACAGAAGCCATTCCTATTGTGGTGCATGTGTACCGAGGGGAAAGAACCACAGGGACAATGCACCTGGCTTGGAACGGAACAGCGGAATGACAGGTGGTTTTGCAGAGGCCATCTCAGCTGCAGTCCGCAAAGTGCGATCTCAGCCTTGCTCATGCACCGGGAAAGCTCGCCACGCAACTGACCATCTAGTGCCACCTCTCCTCTTGCCATTCTGGGAGGGTGGGCCGGTGCTGTGTTTTGTTCAGACTTGAAAACCGCATGTCTAGGATGCCTCCCTCTGGCGTACGGGTGGCAGGAGCACACCACAGTGACCAGGAGTGTGGACCTGGAGGAGACACTGTCAGGTTCAAATCTCACCTCTGCGACTCGCTAGCTGTGTCCCTGCAGACAGGTCACCAACCCTCTCCAAGCCTCAGTTTCCTCATCTCTAAAAAGTCTCCTTACGAGTCTTATGACAATTACAGGTGATATTACAGGAAAAGCACTCATCAAAGTACCGTGGACACAAGGCTTTAATATATACTAGCTATTATAATAGCTATTACTACATTATTATAATAGCTATTACTATATTATTATATTATTCTTAATTTAAAAAATCATGGTTCAAAGATAAATAATACATATCTCTTCATCCTAAATTTAGATTTGTAACAGAGACTCTCAAAGGTTTATCATGTATTTCCAACTAAGTGTCTGCCTGCAATTAGAAAAAACTGCCACCAGGCAGAGATTAAGACTAAGCTTTTCTAGATACAGCCAGCAAAAGTCAAGCCATTTAAAGCCTTTCCCCTCAATTCTACTCCTGAATAAAATATATATACACACACGCACACACATACATAAAACTTGTTATTGGAGAGTTAAGAGAAATGTCAGACAAACATGTCTATCTATATGTAGTATTCCAATAGGATAGTGAGATGAATAAGACTTTAAAATATATGCATAGGCATGCCTAGGTTCACTAGGCACTTTTGTAACACATTAATAGCTGTTAAAATAATTGTTTAATATAATATCCTACATTGCCTCATTGCTTAAAAAATGACATAAAATAAAACAACAAAATATACCTTCATTTTCCTGTTTCTACTAATCACACTAGCCAAGGATGCATGTCAGAAGTATTAAGTGGGTTTTATCAAATTACACAGAACTCATCTCACTCATGGAGATCTTGATTCAGTAGGCTGGGGAGGGCGTGGGTGTTTATATTCTGCAAAAGCTCCTCAAAAATTCTAATGCTGACACTTATGGTTAACAACCACCATACAAATCTTTCCTTTAACAAGAATTTTTTTGCCTTAAAAATTTTTGCAAAAAGCTTTTCTTGATCCTGTACCCTGCTCCCAAAGCAAAACTTGAGTACTTGTGGCTCAATGAAGAGAAGGTGCTGAGTTATTTCCCAGCCCTTAAAAATCACAAAATAACCCCCTACCCGGGCCTTTTAACACCAACAAAGGAGCTAAAGGAAATGGGAAAAGTGGAGGCGCAACTTTGCAACTTTTACATTCGCTCCACGAAATCATGCGAGTGCTTCTCCTTAAGATTAGTGCTGCCTGACAGACTCTGCGCTGATAGGATTAGTTCCGTAGCCGTGTTTTCCCACAGGGTGACACTGGCCCGAGTCACACTCTGCATAACATCTCACCATCCAAAGCCTTCATTTCGTTAATTCATCCAATACACGCTCTTTGCGCACCTACCACGTGCCGGGCACACGTGAGCGCGGGGACTCGGCAGGGAACAAACAGAAAAGCGCCTCGGTCCTCATGGTGCTTGCATTCTAATTTATAATAACTGGCCTCTTTAAAACTACCAGATGTGTTTGAGGAACTGTGGGTTCAATGTGAGTGTGTTTTTTTTTTTTTTTTAAATTATAGTATTTTGGAGCGGAAAAGCAAAAAAATCGCAGTAGAGAAAACCACACAGTTCAAAGGATGGAAGAAATTAGAGGTCACAGAAAATCTGCATGAGAAAAAGAGAAGTGACTTCATGAACCTTTCACAAACAGGGCAAAACAGGAACAGAATCACTGGTTTGGAGGTTATTTATGAGGGGGCCCACGAGCCCACCCTGGGCCATGGGAATGACCAGGCAGAGAACGGGGATTCGGCTGCCAGGAGCAGGACCATGGAATTCCCGGCAACAACACATTCAACAATCCCCACTGGCGATGGGATCAGAAGAGAACCACATTCACGACCAGCAAAGGTATTTTCAAGTAGCCGTAACAAATACTTTACCTATTTGGTAAAAGTTTTTAAGGGCAAAAATTAATTAATTAATTAAGGAAAATTTAAAAATAAGAGTCATGCTTTGATAAGTTACTAATAACCCAACCAGGACCCAGAAAGCTTACCCAGCTAGTAAATGAGGAGCCATGGATGAGACTTTAACTACGAATCCCAAGCTTATTATGTCATGCCAAGAAGCTGAGTCATCTGTCACCTAGAGTTTCTGAGACACTGGACACGATGGGAAGGTCGAAAACGTAACAGTGAACTCTGATCAGTGACAAACGGTCATAAAATGATCAGAACTGGGTGTCTAGGTGGAAAGTGTTTGCCAAGAAGAGGAGAGAGACTGCGGAGAATTGCTGCATCAGGATAATTATTATTAATTAGACCCAGACCTCAGTTCATTCTTCAGCAACCTTACCTAGCTCTGGGGGCAGAACAGTCAGGCGGTTCCCCTGAATGTGGAGTTCCTTAAGCTGGGTAAGCTCTCCGATTTCCTTCGGCAGCGAGATCAGGTCATTATCCCTGAGGCTGAGCTAAATATAAGAAAACAAGGCTTTGTCAAAACAATTTCACATCAAAAGGTGCTGCCCAGCAACAATCGTTCTATTCCACGCCCTCTTTTCTTCTCACGCTCAATCCTTCCCATTTATTTACAAGTGTCTGCCGATAAACAAGAAACACTATCAGGAGTAGTAGTTTATTCCTGCAAAACAAACCTTACTCCTGCTCAAATTGACTTGATTCTACTCCTACAAGGGCTGGAGAATTGAATTGATTTTCTAAGAATTTAGATAAATTACTTACTATCTGCAACTTTGTGAGCTTCCCGATATCTGGCGGCAGGATTTCAAAATCGTTGTCACTTAGATAGAGTGCACGCAGGGTGGCTGCAAATTAAACAGCAATATATAAACAGGGTGGCATGGAACCCAACCATTTGAGGTCTGATCAATACCAGGGAGTCAGCTTTGATTAATAACCCCGGCGTGGTGGAGAGCCCGTGACATACCTAGGACTCCCAATAATAACATGCGGGTCAAACTCAGATCTACTGGTTTATTGTGTGGCTGGTGTGTCCAGGAAAACATCTATATCCAAGAGGACTGATGCAATTAGCAGCTGTGGGCACCAGCCGTTTTTGGCACAGAGTTTCAAGGCATTTTCAGCAAAGAGAGCTATTTTTCTCTATTACTTCCGATTCGCATTTATTACTCCGTTTGCATTCAAAGTAAAACAAAGAAAACCACTGTGCCACTTGCGTCGATACCTAGAGCAAAAAAGGCTCTTTCATGCAAATAGAACTAGGTGAAAACCGAACTTTTCTTATGTAAATAGAACTATGTTGAAAATAAATGAAAGGTTTTCTGGGATTGGAGGCTTTAACCACAGTTCATTGCTTCTACAATGGGACTAATTATTATTACTTGTTTCTATAGCCTCAGGGACAAAAATAAATGAGGACAAAGTGGCTAAAATAACGACGTGGAATGAACAGAGTAAACCCTAACGCAAGCGTATCAGTAAGCTGAAATTTATTCACGATATTACACAATGACAACCTGATCCCAAACTATTGAAGGTTAAAATCCTAAAGCATCTTTTTATCCTCAACCAAAAAGGAGGAGCATAATTAGACACGTTTTAATTTGTTTACAGATATTTAATTATAGTCTAATGTTTTAAAATTGGAAAGAACTGTATGTTACTATAACGGCATAAGTGCAATCTCCTCCATGGCCCAAGAAAATATTTTACAATTGGTTTCACATGTTTGAGACAGTCTGAGAGAGACAGTGTACATGGGTCAAAAAAATGAAATTTCATAGACCAGCTCAGAAAATTCAGATTTTCTGCATGCCATTTATGTCACCATTTGGAGAAGTCGAATATGCATTTCACAGAGGCAAACCTTTCCCTAAATATTTCATGAGTTTCCAGAAAATCATTTTTTTTCCTAATTTTTCGGAGCACCTGTAGCAAGAAATTTGTTTGCCTATAAAAGGATAAAGCATGTTCATTTGTGGCTAACAATTCCTTAATGTTTGACTGTGTCGTGGACAAATATATCAATAAGATGACGATTTTAAAGGCTTGAAACAAGAATCCTGGCTGGGAATTTTAAAAATTCTGTTAGTGGTTTATTAATGAATATTTTTATAAATAATTGATTGGAATATGTTGGGCAAATATCCCACAAAGAATTAACAGCAACATGGGAGGATGCATTTTTTTTTTTACTTTTTCTCTTTTTGGCATGCTCTTTAAAAAGAAAGTCAAGTCTCTCAGCTGAATGTGCGGCTTGATCTCATTTAGGTACATAATCTCTCTCAGAAAGTTAATATGACATTAAGTCTACTTGAGCCCAACAGTGTCACATAACTATATATCAAATATACAAACTGCTGAGCTACGAAGAAATATTCAAAAGGGATCTGTGAAGAAAAAAATATATACGTCCAATAATTTCTCTTGGAGTGCGGGCCCTGGCAAATAAATTTCACTCTTAGAACGCCAAGTACCATGGTCAGGAGATTTATAGAATTAAAAGTTTCTTACTAAGGTAGAAGAAGTTCCCGGGAAGAGAATTTTCATTTAAGTTGTTGTAGGTCAAGTCGAGAACCTCGAGAGCTGGCAGGGACCCGAATCCTCGAGGCAGGGTGTTCAGCCTATTCATGCTGTCGTTGGGGGGAAACATCAAAGTCATTACCTGAAAACCACACGTTTATACACAGCACTGAGATCGCCTGTTTCACAGGCCGAAAGCATCAAAGAGTACCATGACTCTAGGGTCACTTTATTATTTTTAATTTTTAAAGCTTTTATTTATTCAGGTATTTTAACTGACAAGTGAACACTGCATATATTTATGCTGTACAGAATGATCTTTTGATATATGTATAATACATGGTGGAATGGCTTAAAGCAAGCTGTTTAACATACGCCTTACCTCACATACTATTTTTTTTGTTTTTTTGTGGTGAAGACACTGAAAAGCTACTCTTGTAGCAACGTTCGAGTATACCATATATTGTTATTTCCTGTAGTCACCGTGATGTACGATAGAGCTCTTAAACTTGTTCCTAAGATGTGTCCTTTGACTAACATCTTCCCAATACCTCTCCTAACCACCATGCTAGTCTCTGTTCCCATGACTTCGACTTTTTCACACACTACATATAAGTGACAGCATGCGGCATTTGTCTTACTCAGCCTAATAATTTCAGTCAGAGAACCTGTATGTTCATGAAACTTCTGAAAATTTCTTAGTTCTCATTTTCTCCAATGGTGAAGTGAGTGAATCAGTGATTGAAGCAATCACTGTTTTACACAGAAACTTAAACCACCACAAAATATCTGTCCTTGTAAAGAAACACTTTCTTATGAATGTAGCAACATCCCAAAATATACACACTAAGCTTTGTAGTCTTCATACTTTTGCTTTATTTCATTTACTACCTTTTTTGTTTTTGTTTTTTTTTTTTTGGAGACAGAGTCTCACTCTGTTGCCCAGGCTAGAGTGCCGTGGCATCAGCCTAGCTCACAGCAACCTCAAACTCCCGGGCTCAAGCGATCCTCCTGCTTCAGCCTCCCGAGTAGCTGGGACTACAGGCATGTGCCACCATGCCTGGTTAATTTTTTTTTTTTCTATATTTTTAGTTGCCCAGCTAATTTTTTGCTATTTTTAGTAGAGATGGGATCTGACTCTTGCTCAGGCTGGTCTTGAACTCCTGACCTCAAGTGATCCTCCCACCTTGGCCTCCCAGAGTTCTAGGATTACAGGTGTGAGCCACTGCGCCCGGCCTCATCTATTCCTTTTCATGGAAGGGAAGAAAAATCACTTTTTTGTTCCGTGACTACTAGCATTCAAAATTATCTTCAATTAGAACGGAGGCTACCAGGGACTGGGGAAGGGAGGGAAAATGGGGACTTATTTAAAGGGTGTAAAGTTTCAGGTTTGCAAAATGAAAACATTCTGGAGATTGGCTGCACAACAATGTGAGTATACTTAACACCACTGAATTGCATATTACAAAAATGGTTAAGATGGTAAATTTTATGTTATGTATATTTTACCACAATTGAAAAATTTAAAAAGTTATGCAGTTGACCCTTGAACGACATGGTTTAAACTGTGCACGTCCACTTATGCGTGGATTTGCTTCCATCTCTGCCACCCGAGACAGTAAGACCAACCCCTCCTCTTCCTCAGCCTCCTCAACATGAAGATGGTGCGAATGAAGGCCTTTAAGTGGACTCACCTCCACTTCTAAAACAGTAAATGTATTTTCTCTTCCTTACGATTTTTCTTAATATGATTTTTTTCTCTAGCCTACTTTACTGTAAGAATACAGTATACAATACATATAACATACACAATATGTGTAAATCGACTATCATGCTATTGGTAGGGCTTCCAGTCGACAGTAGGCTGTTAGTAATTAAGTTTTTGGGGAGTCGAAAGTTTTATGTAGATTCTTGAGTGCCTGGGGTGGGGACCAGCGCCCGAACCCGCACGTTGCTCAAGGGTCAACTGCATGCGTGCATGTGTGCATGTGTGTGTGTGTGTGTGTGTGTGTGTGTGTGTCTCCAATGAAGTCTAAGGGAAATTTTTTTCTATTACTATTTTTTCTCCTTTTCTTCAAGACCTTCATTTTTCTTAATGCAGATCCCTTTGAGCATACTTAAAAGCCAATTAAAAAAATTTAATAAAAGTTGACAGATATTGAAAGGTGGAAGGGACTGTGACGCTAAAAATCATTCTAGGCATCGATCCCTCTCGTAACAGACACAATCCTGTCCACGCCTACCAAGCAGGCCTCGCGAGAAACAGCTGTCAGCAGAGGGAAGCCACGAGAAGAAAGCGGATTTCCACCTCTCGGGTGGAAAAGCCCCAGACAGACTTTACGCTCAGCAAAATGACCTCCCTGACTATTTCCTGCAATGGTAACAGTAGCTATTCATATACTCTATGAATCCGCAATGTGTGAAGCACAGTTATGCCAAGTATTTCACTTGTTCACTAAGACTACCTTGTACTACAGGCAAGGCAGAGCTTATAATTATTTCTATGTTGAGATGAGAAAACAGCCTAGGAGAGGTTAAGGACCAAGGGCTTCTGTCTTGACCGATGAAGGTGACAGGTGTCTGAAAGTACCTCATCCCGCCCGGAGGCCAAAGCCACTCTTAACCCTCGGACTCCAATGCAAGGATTCTAAATAAATTGAAAGAAAATCAGAGATTGTAAGAAACGTAGAGAAGCATACATTAGTTGCTTCTGTCTTTAAATATTGCTTTCGGTTATCCGGTTCTGAAGATTGCTGATACTTAAAGTTTTTCTTTCCAAGTACAGAAATACACTGTGGCAATAGCAGGTATAGGGGATCCATGGGTCCACAGCCTCGGAGGGAAGAGGCCAACCATCCAACCTCCAGCCGAGAGCAAGCATCGAGCCTCTCCACCTCCTAGTGGCAAGAATCTACTTAATCGCAAGTTCTTTTTTTCCCTTGAGTGATAAACCAACACCCACAACGTGTGAGGAACACAGCAGAGCCTCTCGTGTAGCTGATACTAGTGACAGTAGGCGGCCCGCCAACCTGGCAGGTAGAAGGGGAGCCCTCACTTAAACAGATGCTCCATAAAGTCCAGAACTGCAAGTAACAGCCCAGCCACAAAGCAGGGGAGGAACTGGGGAGATGGCGGCTGTCTCTCCGGACACCAGCCCACGTGCTCAGTGAGCCAGAAGAGTACCTTTCTGCAGGACGAAGGACGGAATACGCTGGCCCCGCACAGCGGGTGCTATTTAATGTCCATCTCCATCCATCCACATGTCCACCTGTGACACTTCTGTTCCCAGGGCTCCCCTCTGAGAGCACGAGCGCTCACGGTTTCTGGGAGAGGTTACAGTGCGGTAGCGGAAGAGTGGAGCTTTAGTCTGCGACAGTAAGGTGACAAGTCCAGCTCCACCTAGCCAGCTGGGTGACCCTGGCCAAGTTATTCAGCTTCTCCACCTGCAAAAAGAGGCTGACAAGCCTTCAGGGCAGGATTACCCAGAGGATGAGGGACGAAACAGATAAAGCACCTAAAGCCATTCACAGCTCACAGGTGGCTTCTAGGAAGTGACAGCTAGACCTACAAGTATTTTTCCAACGGTTTGAGAGAAATTTTGAGTCAACCCCAGGCAGGCAAGCCTACCTCGTGAGGAGGCCATCTGGGGTGGTCTGAACCATGGAGTGTGGTTTCCTACTTGTGCCACGCTAGCTTAATCTCACATCGCCCGAGGTGTTTGCACGCAAAGCTGCTTAGCGCTCAGCTCTGCCAAACAGTATACATTCTTTTGTGTCCATGAGCAGATTTTTCAGATGCGTACTGGAAATGGGCAAGCGCCTGCATATGATGGAGAAATTTATCAAACTCGATAGTTTAAGGCTTTTCAGCATCTTTTTCCCTTCTCTTTTGCAAAAGCCACAGGAAGGCCTGCACTAATGCCTCCCTTTTAGAGCATTCTGTCCTCCGCAGGTACGCCTGCCTCAGTGAAACCTTCCTGGCTAAAGGTACTAATTTTTCTCACCTTCACAGTGACCTATTCACACACTTAGTGCAAAAAAAAAAAAAAAATTCTCAATCCATACATACTCAACATGGTACTTAATGAAAACTTCTTTGTATTCATGAGAAGAGCTCTAGCAACAAACTCTAGGTCAAAAAAGTTATGCCCGAATAGTTGGGCATGGTGCTCCCACAGTGGAATTATCCTAGAAATAATTATCAACACGGGAATCTATATGGCTTTACATTTTTTTTTTTTTTTGGAAAATAACTCCATAAAATAAACCATTTTTAAGGAATTAAGAACTTATTAATAATTATGCTCTCCTTTATTTATTCAGGTGGCCTAGAATTCTTTCAGGTCTTGCAATCATCGGAATAAACAGCGAATACTACATGAAACTTTAAAAGCAAATTTTGGTTGAGTTTGCCTTTTGAATCACGCATACAAGCAGCCTAACATCTCTGCTTTATGGTCTCCTGTGTATACATTGTTATTCTAGCTTCTTATTCTAAGGAGTCCTTGCTATCACTTTCCTCAAACTTACCTTAAATGTGCATGTATAATTCTTTATGCTATCTGAGGACAGAAGTACCCTTTAATGACAACCATCTTCACTCCTTTCCCAAAGAACTAGGAATTTTATTCAAACTTTTGACAACCCTGTGTAGCTACGTAATTAAATACAGAAAGCTTTATACAATCAATGAAACACCGAGAGCCAAAAATGCAAACAACTCCAAAGAGAATAAGAAGGCAGCTAAGATGCATCCAATGAAAAAGAAAAGTTTACGACTTTGTCCTAAGGTACCTCACACCAAACTGAACAAAATCTGGATTCGTTATCTTCTTCCAAAACCCGTCTCCATCTCTATTTCCATTTCAGCCACCTGACACAGAAATCTAGGTATCACCCCATCCCAACAGTTACTGTCTGGTCAATTTTACCTCCTATGTATTTTTCATATGAAATCCCTCCCCGGCCCCCCCGTCACTGTCCCATTTCACTTGGAACATGAAGCCAACATTCCTACTGGTCCCCTGACTTCCAGACTACCTCCTTCCCTCCCTCCCCTTCTCCACACTGATGTTTCATACGAAAATCTGACCTTACCTCATACCCACTGCTCTGCTGTGCAAATTCCTCAGTGGCCAGTAGGATAAAATTGGAGTCCCTTTATTTAGCACACATGGCCCTTCATTAGCACTTCTGATTCCCTGCCATTATTATAAACATTTATTTGTTTGTAGCTGGTTTCCCCAACTGTGACGCAAGTTCCCTTGGCACTGGACGGCCAGTACCTAGAATTGTGTCTGGGATACAGTCAGGAACTCTGCAAGTCCTCATTAAAACAACAGGAGACGTTCATGATTCCCCGTCTAGCCTTGCTTCTTACCTTACTGCTCCTTGCCTCGCACTTGACACTCAAAAAGGCCAAAAATCTGACAATTCCCGGAAAAATGCAGAGCTCTGAGCATTTGTCATTCTCTCAACCTGAGAGGCCTCTTTGATATGTAAGTCTGAGAAATTCTTTCTCATGCATTAAGTCTTGGCTCAAAGGCTACCCCCTGCGTGTGCCCTCCTGAGAACCTCACCTACAGACTCAGGTGTTTCTTGTCTTGCTGTGCCCACCACAGGTCTACAACCTCCAACGATCAGTCTCAGTGAGCCCGCTAGACTGTTCCTGCTCACTCACAGCCGGCCCCCTCCATACTTAAGGCCAGGACTGTGACTTACGCCTTCGATTCCCAATACCAGCAAGGTTCCTGACATAGAAATAAATGAAAAAAATAAATAAAACAATGACGATGATGGTAATAGGTCATACTAGTATTGCGTAGGAACTGTTCCTAGTGAAATACATACATAAATATATGTATATCACCATTTAATATGTGAAAAAATGAACATTAAGACATACATACACATATACCTAGTTTTAACTTCTTGCTTACATACAAATTAAACAATAGGACTTAATAATCTTCAAAACCAAGATATAAATGCAGCATCCTTTCTTTTCTGCTTTGCCAGATGGGTAAAATGTCTACAAATCCGTGGGGAGGAAAAAAATCATCTCATCTAAAGTGACGTTTCTCCCTCCTTTAAACTCCTCTTTCCTCAGATGTTAGAAAAAAAGAAGGCTCGTGGATCTTACCAAGATGGTCTCTTAGCCAGACTGAACTTCAGCCTAAGAGTGTCTGACTAAACTCCCCATGAAAGGAACGAACTAAAAAAGAAAAAAATCGCTTCATGAATGAGATTTCTTTTTCATGATTGCTTCCTGTTAAATTGATAAATACCTGGCCAGCTTCTATTGCAACTCCACGTAAATCACTAACTTAACTAGAACATTTAGCGACTACAATTTAATGAATACATTACTTCACACAGAGAATGACACATGAGTGGGCAGTTTCTTCTAACAGCTACGGCAATGAAGACGGAATTCAGAAGTCAATGTTCTGGTTGGGGTCTCGCGCTCTGACGGAGGATGTATGGACCCAGAACAATGGGTTCTCTCCTCAGCTTGGCCACTAACCTCAGGAGTTAGTCACTTAACCCCTTGGCAAGAGCCTGGCTTCCTCTCTATGAAATTAAAGCACTAAAGCCTGCCCTTCCTACCTCACAAATGTGGAGAGGGCCACATGCCAGCATAAAGACTTTTAAAACTACAAAGCAACACACAAGGATAAGGCATTATTATTAATATTATTCACTGCTCCCTGGTTTTGCAACCTCAGCTGAATCGAAACTCTTCTCTTCACCTTTGCATAAGGAAAGACACAGGATTATAAACTCCCAACTACACAGAAGAATCGCAAGAATTATGGGAGCAGTGTTAGGGAATATATCCTCCCCTTCATGGAAGGAAGGTGTTTTGCAAACTTTTTCTATTTAATAACGGAGAGAAAAAGCAACCATATTACAACTTGTTTGAACAGTTAATGCCGTGCAAATAAGTCCCTTCTCGGTCAACATCAACTGAAATAAAATTTTACGGGAAATAAAATACAGTAAAAAAAACTCCCTTACTGCGCCAACAATTAGCTTCTCAATTAGCTCTCAGATAGATATGCACTAATGTAGGCCATTGAAAGGCTATATTAAAACAATAAAACTTTTTTTAAAACCTAAAACATAAAAAGAAATTAGAAATCTACCTCTCCCGTGCAATAACATAAATAGATTCCTTCTCTCGTGACCACACCCCACACCCCCTCCCCTTCCACCCTCTTCTCCTTCCGCCTCCACCAAGACTCACCCAAGGTTGAGGTGTTTGAGTTTTTGCAGGCTGCTGATCTGTGTGGGTAGCTCCTCGATCTGGTTATTAAAAAAGTTGAGCACTTCCAAATTCTTCAGTTCTGCTATGTTTGGTGGCACCGCTATGGAAACAAAAATACTCAACAGTGAATCCAGGAACCTCCCTCTTAGCAAGGAATGCCAACAACACACTTGGTTTGTCCTTCAAAAAAAAAAAGGGAGCTATAACTCCAATATGATCATCTAATTCGCATACAGGTCCTCACTCATTTTTGGTAGGTTTTCCATAGGAAGTAACTGTCCACCAAGTAAAAGCAGAAATGTTTCTTCTTGGACAATCAGGTAAGTATTTGGCGTAGTTTGTTTCAAATGGACGAAGAGGAGGGAAGAAGTATAAAAAGGGCAAAAGAGAACTTCTGTACCGTAAACAGCCTATAAAAGGGAATATTATAAAGCATATAGACTTACAGTTGTCATATAATGTCTAATAAGTGCAACTGTTTTCCTCCTTTTGGTTTCCTTCTGTCTCCACCAGAAGGAAGACAGCTCCAAATCCCTTCCTGAGTGACAGTACATCCAAGCTGGTTTAATCCAGTATCTGAAGAGCTGTCCTCTTAACACTGTATTAAATCACAACAATTTAAGCTCAACCTTAAATGACGAAAATATTCAACCTACCTAGTTTCTGATTATGGCCTCTGGAGAAATACACCTCGATCAATACAGGTACACACACACATACACAAAGGTTACATCAGATTAGCAACCGATCAATACACTGTTATATAGAAATACAAAAAGCCAACTCCATAGCATGCTATGAATACTGGTATGCAGATCAAAGATGAAAATAAACCACTGGGTACCCGAAAAGGTTCCTCCTTCCCTACATTATATACCGGCAAATTAAAAGCCACAGGCATCTTTATCTCCAAAGTACAGACTCTAAATTGGTAGCAGAAAGACTTCCAGTAGTTTGTAATTCATCTACCCCATTTGCCAGTCAATCTTTCTACAAACATCTGCTTGTCCGTGGTTCATGTCAACTCTAATACCACGACCATCTGGGCAACTAAGAACACTGACACAGGCCTTGAGTCCAGCACAGGAAAATGTGATGTCTCAGACATCAGTGAGGTCTTCCCATCCCACCTGCCTCCTCCTCCAGGGTGCCCCAGAAGGCTGAGAAAACCTGCCTGCAGCCAGAACCAGGAGCACTTAGAACCGCTACAAAGGAATGTGTAAAACGCCAAGCGTACATCTGAAACATTTAAGGAGAAAGCCATTCCGAGAACTCCAGCAGACAACATCCAAGGGACCAAAAGTCAAGAGGGCAGGTACACGGTTCATGGTAGTTCTGCGTCATCACTGTCAGCTTTGTGAGATGTCCAACGCATCGCTGACCTGACTTCTTTTAGAGGAAAGGCTTGGAAAAGGTAATGGAAATGCTTTCATTGGAAGAAGGGGTTTTAAGGAATATGGATCATTCTGGACTAGGACACACGGGCAGAGGGCAGTGGTCCGGTGACTGGGCCTTGGATTGGCTCCTGAAGTGGCTGGAGGTAAGAGGACAGATTTTCACGGGATGATCCAGGCAGCTGGGAATTAACCCGCACTCTTGGATACCAACACGAATGCACGTGAACCCCACCCACACAAGTGGCTGCAGAGGCACATTTTTAAGTGCACAGGCAAGAGCGCACTTCCGTGCAAATGAACGATACTCGCTTTGTGTAAATGACCACCAAGAAAATCACCAGCCTGCGCCTGCTGAGCTGCTGGGTGTCATCTGTCCCTGTTCCCTCCCCAGACCATAAAGTGTGTGAAGTACTACATCCCAGAGACCTCGCCCTTCCCCTGCCCACCCTCCAGCTACCATTAAGCCCTTCATCTGATTAGTTTGAAGAGCAATAAAGAAAGTTATCGAAACCAGGAGAAAATGATGATCTCAATTTAGCCACAAACCAAGAATAATGCGGCCAGAATTACTGCCCCCTTCCCAAAGTTACTCTGCCAATGCAATTAAATGCTGGTCTAAAGGTATCGCCTTCTTGACAGGATGAGAGATTATTTCACTCTCCTTGCTAAATCAGTCCAATTTAAAACCACGAATTATGCTAAATGTGATTTAGGGCTTTGTTTTGTGGACACAAACAATAACCCCATATTCAATTTACGAAACCTCTCCCAGCCCTCTGGTATGCATGTGAATTTTTTGTTTAAGACTCCATTCGAGCTAAAAGGGGCGGGGGGAACTACATAGCTAATATTCTCCTTAAAATACAGAATTTTTTTCCCCGTGGCCATAGTGAAAATCAAAAGAAATTAACATTCAGACCTGTCCGGATAGGACAGCATTGACTCTTTCAACCAATATATTCAGAGAGTGTTTATTATGTGCACAGCATACTTTTAGCACCTAGCATTTTGATACTTTGGGGATAAAGTGGGAAAGGTGTGCTATTTAAAGAAAGTAAGTTACAAAACAAAGGGTATCCAAAGTCAATAAATTGAAACGAGCCTAGTGCTTGTAAAAATTAATCCTAACAAAACCGTCCAGAAAAAAATAACCAGTTAACAATATGAGTCGTGCAACAACTAAATCATATACATACATGGCATGAACGATTTTAACCATTCTGAACAGGCAGCTGCAATATTTCGCCAGTCTAAACATTCTACTGGAATTTTCCAGATATCTTCATGACATATGAGCAAGAAGCATTTTTTAATATAACTAGTGAGCATGAATATGTTTCTTATTGTGTCTTTGCAATGTTCCTTTTCCATGACTCTGTCCAGCTTCTGGCCGACGACTCCAACTGTAAAAACACGTGCAGAGATTATAAGGAGCCGAGCCCACAAAACAAACAGAAGAGCAACGGGATGCGTGACCACAGGAGCCCTGGCCTGTCTGGTCACCGCCAGCTTGACTGAGGCTCCTCCAGGTTCAGCCCTACACTGCTGTGTGTGCCCTTATTCAACTCACAACCTCTCTGGGCCTCCGTTTCCTCCAGTGTAAAATGAGAAGGCTGGATTACGACCATTTCTAGGTTCTCTTCCACTTCATTTTAACATCCTGTGATTCTAAGAGGAGATGGATTATGAAAATCAATGATATGGATTTAAATAATTCAGCAAATGGGGCCGTCAATTAGGAAGCTCAGTCATGTAGAACTTTGCTTCTGACAGAGAATTTAATATCATTTTCTGCCCAGCCAATGGTGGCTGCTCTAATTTGGAGACTCCAGTTGCTGGATCTGGGGGAACTGTCTCTAGCTACTCTCAAGTGCTCCCTGGCTGCTAAACGTCACTTTCTGCTCTAGCTGCAGGATCACATGACCATGGGGGATGCTCTCAGCCCCGAGCTTCTGCTGGTGTTCTGGAAAAGGTGACAAAGACGTGGTCCTGTCACCCCAGAGACTGGACTCCAGCTGTCACAGTTTGGACTAACAAGGATTGCAAACTAGTACAACCTCTGTGGAAAGTAGTATGAAGATACCTCAAAGAACTCAAAGTAGAACTACCATTTGATGCAGCAATCCCAGTACTGGTTATTTAGCCAAAGGAGAAAAAGACATTCTATAAAAAAGACACCTGCACTCGAATGTTTACAGCAGCACAATTCACAATTGCAAAGATGTGGACACAACCCAAGTGCCCATCAATACACAAACGGATTAATAAACTGTGGTATATGTATAATATGGAGTTCTACTCAGCCACAAAAAAAGTGGTGAATTCATACCTTTTGTAACAACCTGGATGGAACTGAAGACCATCCTTCTAAACGAAGTATCCCAGGAATGGAAAAACAAACACCACACGTACTCACTACTAAATTGGAACTAAGGAATCAACACTTATGTGCACATATTGAAGTAAATCTTGAATCAGGCAGGCAGGAGGGGGAAGCAGGGGATGGGCACACTTATAACTTTGACTCAAACTGTACAAAAGCAAATTATGTAACCAAAATGTTTGTAGCCCCGTAATATTCTGAAATTAAAATAAATAAAAATTAAAAAAAAAAAGAAAGCCCCGCATGGCCCTCTGTTCTTTTAAATCCTACTAAATTGAAGAACCTGAATGTAATTCTAGAGTTTTGTCTATTTGGTGTTCTGACCCAGACTCAGCAATTCATCACACTCCCTCCCCCGAAGCACAGTTTCTGGAAGGTTCCACAAGAAGTCCAAAGTGGCAGAAGGGCTCATTAACATCTCTTTAAAAGGCTCCTTCAGGCAGGAGGCACCTCCTGGACAGGCTGGATAAACCAGAGCTCCAACTGCAAGAAACCCTTGACACAGCTGATTCCCGAGCAACGGCTTTCCTCCTCCTACGAGGACGTGTGTCCCTCACCATCGCTTACGTCCACAACAGGCGAGAGCCACCAGGCACTGCAGAGCTGAAGCACATTCGAGAAACTCAGGAATGGGCTTCCCTCGACTGGCTGGCAACCCGCACCCTGCCTCCCCTCCAGAAGAAGAATCAAAATAAACTATTGTTACAGCAACTGGAGTTTCATTCTTGGAGGATTTTGTTCTATGACATGAATTAATAATTCCACAACCCGCAACT